TAGTGACAGAATTTCAAATGGTAAGGAAGTCAAGTAGATATCAAAACAAGACAGATTGTTTTAAAATGGGGAATAAATGAATAAATCACAAGGTAACCTTAAAGAAACTCAATACACCTTCACATTAAATCAAGAAAAGGAAAATCCATATAGGTTATGTAAACATCAAAACAATGAAGAAATTGTAAAAAATTCACAGGAAATGAACTCAGGAAAACATGTGGGACAAAGAAACAAGCAGCACCACACACACAAAAAAAAAACAAAAACAAAAAAACCAACAAAATGACTGCAATCAATGCATGCATATTGATAATTGCACTGAATGTAAATGCATAAAGTGCACTAGTTAGAGTAACAGAATGGATTAAAAAACCAAGCTCCTTCAATATGCTGTCTACAAAAGACACACCTTACAAAATAATAAACATAGATTACAAAGTAAGAGATGGAAAAAAATACATCAAGCTAATAGCATTAAAAATGAACAGGAGTGGAAATATAAATTCCAGATAAAATAGACTTTAAAGCAAAAACTATCATAATGGACAGAGAAGGATAATCAAGAAGATTTTCTTGAGATAATTTCAAGATCAAAGGGTCAATTGATCAAGAGACCATAACTATAATTAATGTGTATGCTTCCAATGAAAGAGCCTCAAAATACATAAATAAAACTTGAATTGAGGAAAGAAATAAACAAATTTACAGTAATAATAGGAGATTTTGATACATCGCTTTCAGAAAAGAACAGAACAACTAGAGAGAAACTCAACAAAGACACAGAGGAACTAAACAACCCAATCAATAAACATGACCTCATAAATTTATACAGAGCTCTCAACCTGAAACAGCACAATACACATTCCTTTCCAGTGCATGTGAAACATTCTCCAGAATAGATCATATGTTAGGTCACAAAACAAGCCTCAATAAATTTAAAAACATCAAAATACTACAAACTGCCTTCTTAGATCACTATACTATATCATTAGAAATCAGCAATAGGTAGATCAAAGAAACAAAATCAAATACATTGAAACTGAATAAAATCTACTGGGTAACAGAGGAAATAACAAATGAAAGAAAAAAAAATTCCTTGAATCATATAGAAATGAAAACTCAATATACCAAAACATTTGGGACACAGAAAAAGTACGTAGACAGCAATTCATAGCAATAAACACATTCAAATAGCAATAAACAATTTATAGCAATAAACACATTCAAAAACACATTCAAATGGAAGGAAGAACCAACATCAGCATGTTAACACAACATCTCTAACATTGAGAAAAACACCAGCAAGGTAGCCTAGAGTCACCAGAAGAAATGAAATAATACAGACTTTGTTAGTTGGTTATGTGCTGTGGAGTCAATCCCAACTCATAGTAACTGTGTATGTGAAGAAAGCAAAAAGTCATTAAGAAGACAAGAAAGAAAGAGAAGGTCAAAATGGATTGTCAAAAGAGACAATGAAACTTGCTCTCTAGCATAGAGATGCTAAAGCAAATGGAAGAAATGAGGAGGTACAAGCATTGAACAGCAAATTTCAAAGATCAGCTCAAGAAGATAAAGCCAAATATTACAACAAAATGTGCAGAGATCTGGAATCAGAAAACCAAAAAGGAAGAACACGCTCAGCATTTCTCAATTGAGAAAACTTCTAGTCTTGACTTGCACTATTGAATGATTCTCTGGGCAAATTATTGAGTGATGCAGAAAGCATCAAGAGAAGATGGAAGGAATACTCAGTCACTGTACCAAAAGGAAATGGTTAATGTTCAACCAACTCAAGATGTAGTATATGATCAAGAGCCAGTGATATTGAAGGAAGAAGTCCAAGATGCATTGAAAGAATTGGCGAAGAACAAGACACCAGGAATTGATGGAATAAAAATGGAAATCTTTCAAGAAAATAAGGCGGCACAGGAGGCACTCACTCATCTCTGCCAAGAAATTTGGAAGACAACTATCTGGCCGACTGATTGGAAGAGATCCATATTTGTGCCCAATCCAAAGAGAGGTGACCCAATGGAATGTGGAAATCATCGGACAATCTCTTTGATATCCCATGCGAGTAAAGTTTTATTAAAGGTAATGCAGAAACGGCTGCATGCAAACATTGACAGAGAACTTCCAGAGGTCCAAGCTGGATTCAGAAGAGGCTGTGGAATGAGGGATATCATTGCTGATGTCCGATGGATCTTGGCTGAAAGCAGAGAATATCAGAAAGATTTTTACAGGTGCTTTATTGACTATGCAAAGGCTTTCGACTGTGTGGATCATGACAAGCTATGGACAACATTGCGAGGTATGAGTATTCCAGTACTCTTAATTGTGCTCATGAGGAATCTATACCTGGACTAAGAGGCAGTTGTTTTAAAAAAACATGGGAACACTGAAAGTTTTAAAATTAAAAAAAGGTGTGTGACAAGGTTGTATTCTTTCACCATACTTATTCAATCTGTGTGCTGAGCAAATAATCAGAGAAGCTGGGTTATATGAAGAAAAACGTGGCATCAGTATCAGAGGAAGACTCATTAACAACCTGCAATATGCAGGTAATACAGCCTTGCTTGCTGAAAACTGAAGAGGACTTAAAACATTTACTGATGAAGATCAAAGAGCACATCCTTTGGTATGGATTACATCTCAATGTAAAGAAAACAAAAATCCTCACCACTGAACCAATAAACAACATTCTTATCAATGGAGAAAAGATTGAAGTTGTCAAGGACTTCATTCTTCGTGGATCAACTATCAACTCTCATGGAAGCAGCAGTCAACAAATCACACCACGTATTGTGTTAGGCAAATCTGCAGACAAAACCTTTTTAATGTGTTGAAGAGCAAATATGTCAGCTTGAGGACTAAGTTGCATCTGACCCAAGCCATGGTATTTTCAATAACCTCATATGCATGCGAAAGCTGAATAGTGAATAAGGAAGACCGTAGAAGAATTGATGCTTTTGAGTTATGGTGTTGGAGGAGAATATTGAAAGTGCCATGGGCTGCCAAAAGAACCAATAGATCCATTTTGGAAAAAGTGCAGCCAGAGTGCACCTTGGAGGCCAATATGTCTCTCATACTTTGGACATATTGTCAGGAGGGACCAGTAGCTGGAGAAGGATATCATGTTTGGTAAGGGTCAGAGAAAAAGAGGAAGGCCCCCAATGAGATGTATTGGCCAAGTGGCAGCATCGATGGACTCAAGTGTGGCAATAGTAGTGAGGTTGGCCCAGGATATGGCAGTGTTTTGTCTTCCTGTGCATAAAGTTGCTATGAGCCGATACCGACTCAATGGCACCTAACAGCAACAACAACAATAACTTTGAAGAGGTTGCTCTTCCTCAGTTATATTTGAATGCTTTCCAACCAAAGGGGCTCATCTTCTGGCACTTTATCTGACAGTATTTTACTGTTATTCGTCATGTTTTCAGTGGCTAACCATTAGAAGTATTCTGCCTCTATTTTTTCCTCATCTGAATGTTACTCTGAAACCTGTCCACCATAGGTGATGCTGCTAGTATTTGAAATACCTATGTCATAGCCACCACAGTGTGACAAATTGACAGATGTGTGGGGATCCGTAGGTATAGGATTTAGGATTTATAACACATATATTTGGGAGAAACAATCCAATGCATTATGTGTACTTATAATTTTACTGAATATGATAGTTATTACTGTATTTTGCAGTGATAAGCTCATCTAATATATTTTTATTCAGATATTATAAGTTTAGCTCTGTAATTTTAGTAGTTTTTGTGGTTTCTAGTTCTCTGTTGAGAATCTCATTCCTGGTGTAGTGCCCTAGAAGAAGCACTAAACTGCTAGCTACAAGCTTGGAGGTTCAAACTCACTAACTGCTCCCTGAAAACCCAATACAGGGTGGCTTTGAGTTGGAATCAACTCAAGGGCACTTAACATCAATTCACTCATATATTCATCTTTTCCTTTAAATCATGAACTATCTATAATAATTTTTATTGTCCTTTTTGACTAATTCCAGTATCTGTGCCATCTCTGCCTCTGTTTCTGTTGACTTTTCTCTCTCTGACTTAGGATCATGTTTTCCTATGTCATATCTAGTATTTTTATGATATGTTGCTTATTATCAATTCTATGCTTTCTTTTAAGTCTGGATTATGTTTTCTTCTTTTAAGATTGTTGTTTTTGTTCTTGAAGGAAATTAATTTTTTGGTGACTTAGCTTTGTCCTTTTATGTTTGTCTTTAGGTTTTGTTAGTCCATGTCTAAACTAGTTCTTCCTTTAGGTTCTAGAATAACCCTGCTGCTAAGATGTGGCATTTCTTAGTTCTCAGATAAGTGTTAGGGGCACTAACAAGGTTTCTCTACTGTTACTGAAAGGAGTACCGGTGTCTCACAGCAGTATGGAATATCGTGTATTTCCATTCAACTCCCAGCTCCAAGTAATTTGTTTCTACTAGACTTTATAGTGTTTTGTATTATGCATGTTCAATTTAGTATTTGGTCAAAGGCTCTTGGAACTTTATGCAGATTTTTGTGCTTAATTACTTTCTCTCTTGCACCTTATTCCATGTAACTGAATTATCTCCTTACACCCAGACCTTGATCTCTGTTCAGTGAGATTACGTTTCTCTGTTTGAGCTATATTTTCCTGTACCTTCAGGAAAGAAACCTCAAGATGAAAACCAAGGCAAATAACGTTTCTCTTCTCACAAGTATCAGTTTTGTGATGTATATTTTCATAGCTTGATATAATTTTCCCGTCTATCTTGTCAAGTATTACAGTTTTTGACTCAATAATTTAGCATTATAATTTGTAAGTTTAACCCTTATGTTTAACTGTCCATGTAGCATGGGTGCTAACTTAAAGTGAAAAATAAAAAGAACCTATTAGTTGTGTAATGAGAGAATATAAAACTTTCATGTACAAAAGGAAGAGTCTCATATGTTTTCAAAATTTTCCTGGAACATAGTTATCTGTAGGCTAAAACCTTTATACCTTTATAGGTCAGAAAATGGACAGTGGAGGAGATAAAAGTTTACCAGTGGATCAAGGTTTAAACTCACATGTCCAACCTCAAATTGAAAAATGCGGAAGTGTTCAACCTAACATTCAGAATAGTAAGTACATTTTTTTCATTATTTTATAACAGTATATTTAAGATAATGCTTTAGTTCTAAATATGTATCATCTTTTCTTTGTATAATGTAGACTTTGTTCTCATTTGTAGATAGTTGTAACTAGTATCAGAAGCATTTTTACTCCCAAATGACACCATAAATGCATTATTATGGACTGTAATTCACTCATAATCTTTCTCTTGATTGTCACACCAATTCCCACCCCTCCCCGTCCCCCTCCGATATAGTCCTGGTGTGGTGCTGTAGGATAAACACTGGACGGCTGACCACAAGGTCAATGGTCTAAACCCACCAGCTGCTCTTTGGAACCCTATACAGGATCACTATGAATCAGATCTGATTTGATGGCACTTAACAACAGCAATAACATAGCTTATTATTTGTCTTGCAAGGCTTTAAACTTATAGTATTAACATAACTTGAAAGAACAAATTTTAGGATTATTAGAATATAAGTGAAAAGTACAATATATTTATATAAAGGGGCAAGAAATATATCATCCCTTCAGAGATTTCACTGTATATATATATATAATGTTTCTTAATTTATTATAGTCCAAGCATTTATGTTGTTGTTGTTAAGTTCTATGGAGTCGATTCCGACCCATAGTGACCTTGTATAGGGTTTCCGAGGAGTAGCTGGTGAGCTTGAACTACCGACCTTGCAGTTCAATCGGCTTTGCAGTCTGGTGCATTAACCCACAGCGCCACCCCAGGACTCCCAAGCATTTATAGTCTAGGTGAAAAAAAAGATGAGTTAGTTGATAGTAGGTTAATGTCCATATACCAAGACTTCACAGTTAAAAGATCACACACAATTTGGAAAGCCTGGAGTTTCTCAAAGTGGAAACATAGTAGTAAGGAACATTATTAAGTAATTTAAATTATATTCTGCTGTTATTTGTTTTGTAATTTATTAATACGTATCTGTCTGTCTTAATGTTCACATTTTTAAAAGCATCAAATGCTCTAAATTGCTAAGAAAATGTTGAAAAAATTGTAGTCACAGTAGTTACTCAAAATTAACCCCAGAAAATATCCTTAATTGTCTTTTTTTTTTTTTTTTAATGTTTTATGGTGAATTATGTGTTAGTTTACATGGGAGAACATTAGTTTTACATTCATCCTATTGTATATAGTTTCATTGCCATGGTTACAATCCCCTCCATGCATCATCAACCAACCAAAGGGTATACCCTGCAAACCTGTCCCCGCCGAATGTCAGCACGCAGCTCCTCTACCTCTCTGAGTCTAAAGTCCCCAGCTGCTCTATCTCTCCACGTCATCATCTCTGCCTCCATCTCAGGCATCACTGCTTCTTTGGGTAGGGTCCCGCTCTCTGCTCTTCTCCCTTGATGGTCCCAGGGACCTCTGCTCCTAGACTGCAAAGTTAATCACTCCCCTCCTTGCTACAAAACATCTACCTTTACATTTCCAACCCTCACAATCAGTCCTGATAACACTTAATTGTCTTTGAAAATATACCTTGAATTTTGATTTTTGGTTGTTCAAGCAAAAAAAAAAAAAGCCACAAAAAGAAACTATAAGAAAGGGATCATTTATCATTTTGAGCATGTTTTCTGTTACATGTTTGTAAGAGTTACAAACACCAAGATGTCTAAACCAGTACAGAAAGATCTCTTAATGTACTATAGACTTTAAAGAATATGCTCCTCTTCCCTGTAACGTCAACATCTGTTTTTGCAGGGCAGGAAACAGGCGAGCTTGCTGATGAAGGTCGTTTGTCTTTGGATAAATGTTCAGATTCAAATAATCAACTTCAGATTACAAATGATATTTCAGAAACTGAATGTAGTAGTAAGTGTCAAACATGAGATTAATGTTCTTAAACCCTTTTTATGTTATTTTAAATAGAAAAATATGTGTATATAATATATGATATTTTAAAACATTTACCAATGATTTTGAATATTATAGGAAACTGGAAAGGAAACTAACTACTGTACTTAGTCTATTACAAAGCCTACCTTTTTTGCTTTTGATTAGAGTAAATATAGGTTATACATACAAATAAAACTTGTACATATTCTGTTTGTGTCCCTAAGAACAAAGAACAGAAGTAGAAATACTACAAAGACATTGCCGTGTTTTGTAAAACACTTTGTTGATCGTATATAAAGCACTATAGGTTATCATATAAAAATTAACTCTAAGAAGAAACGATCTCAAATTTGACGTGCTTTAAAAGATATGATGGTTTCTCCAATTAGTAGGTGTAAGGAATCAGAATAACAACTATGACAAACACAACTGTTACATAGGTAGCTAAAACTTTGATGTAACTGGGGATAAGATATTAAGAAAGTGAATTGTAGAATTTCTTTTCTATCTTGAGCCAATTTAATTCTATAAGTACACTCTACTGGTTTAGGGAATGATGTTTATGGACTATATTTGCCCCAGATTTTATTAGTCTGTGAATTTGAAGGAATGCTATTTCATACACGTGTTAAAATTCCTCATTCACTCCCTCCCTCCATCTTTAGGATAGCCTTTGAATATTAAGAGTAATATTAGGAGTTGTTGTTGTTAAGTGCTGTCAAGTTGGTTCTGGCTCATAGCAACTCTGTATAGGGTTTCTGAGGAGAGGCTGGAGGGTTTGAACCTCTGACCTTGTGGTTAGCAGTACAATGCTTATTCTACAGAAAATTTAGCATCTGTATTTGTCAGCTCTCATACTTTCCTAGGAGGAGGACCAGTTCCAGGAGAAGGATACCATACTTAGTGGAGAGTCATTGAAAAAGAGGAAAACGCCCAGTCAGATGGACTGACACAATGTCATCTCTAATAGGTTCAAGCATAACAATTATGAGTATATCACAGGACTAAGCAGTATTTTGCTCTCATTTGTTGTTGTGAAGTGCCTTTGAGTCAGTGCTGACTCATAGCGACCCTGTATAGCATTTCTGAGGAGTGGCTGGTGGCTTTGAATTGCCCTCCTTGCAGTTCAAACCGATCTTGAGATCCAATGCTTATCCTATAGTGCCACACCAGGACTGACAACAACATTTGCCAGCTATTGCTGTAATAATAAGTAGTCACAAACTATTCCAAAGACAGTTGCTTAACATAAGAAGCATTCACTTTTCTTCCTCATAGACCTGTGGGTCTTCACTTCAGCCCTGGCATGCTGGCATTGTACTCTAGGCTTTGGGTTGGGTTTAGGATGGTTCTATATAGTCCGTTTGAAGGTCATTCCTGACAGGACATTAGCAATGTTTATGTGATTGTCCATAACGGATCATGGGAGAAGAAAAAAGAACAATTTATATCATGTAAGCATACATGAGGGAACTTCATAAAGTTCATGGAATAATTCCATTAGCTTTTAATCCCATTTTTCCACAAACTTTTTGAAGCCCACTCATATATCAAAAGCCTCTGCATCACGTTTGAGTACTCACATTTCCATAGCCAAAGCAAGTAACATGGATGAACCCTAAATCATTGAGACAGGAAAACATACTCTAACTGATAGAGACAGTTAAGTATTTATCTTCTCGTTCACAAATGTTCCCTAAAGGTATAATATACTCTCATCCCCTCCCAGTGATACTCTAAGCATTTCATCTCTTCTAGTCAAGGCTTTGGGTTTAAAATCCAGAATCTGATAATGTACAAAAGGTCTATATTTGGTTCATATTGAACCAGAGACTGCCAGATATAAAAAATGACACTCAACATAAATTGGACTAGATAAATTTAGCAAACACTTGCAGTCTAAAACGGGAAGAAAGGAAGCATGAGAGTGGCTTACTGCTCTGTTTTGTAGTTGTTGTTAAGTTCCATCAAGTTGCTTCCAACTCATAGCTACCCCTGTATATATTATATATGTATAATATATATAAATATATATGCAATGTATATTTATATATGTATTTAATATATATACACAACCTATATAATATGTCCAGTAGTTGGAAAATTTGGCCTTGGTGATAGAAATGATGCTGGAGAACGCATGATAGAATTCTGCAAAACAAGTGATTTGTTCCTTTCAAATACCTTCTTTAGACAGCTTATTAGACGACTATACACATGGACCTTGCCAGATGGAACACATAGAAATCAAATTGACTACATCTGTGGAAGGAGAAGATGGAAAAACTCCATATCACCAGTGAAAACAAGGCCAGGGGCAGACTGTGGAACAGACCATCAATACTCATATGCAAATTCAAACTGAAACTGAAGAAAATGAAAATAAGTCCACAAGAGCCAAAATATGACCTTGAATTTATCCCACCTGAATTTAGAGATCATCTGAAGAACAGATTTGATACATTAAACACTAAAGACTGAAG